AATAGTCAATTGAATTTGGTTGACTGGTTGAATTTAGTAGCAAAAGGAAAAATGATTTTTCACATAGGGCCAGTTGGGCTTAAAAGCATTTTTCCTTCAATAAATGAAATAATTTAAAAACAGCATTTAGTGTTTACTTGGGTTAACTTTAATATCAAAAGTAGTTGGATCTGAAACATTAAAGTGTGATAAATATGCATAAATATGCATTGTTATTAATAAGAAGCCAGATGACCCCCCTCTTCTTTAGCTTAGAGGACATGGCACCCTTGATTTAAAATTTTTATTTGTTCCATCACAGGACATTCCACTTCAACTCTGTCCTAATAAGCTCGGGCCCAGAGAAGGCGGTGGCATTTCTGGATCCCGTGATCTGTGTTCACAGACAATGGTTTTGATTCAACAGGTCAGGCAGTAATTAAGCCTGGGTGTGGCTAGTGAAATTGATCCCAATAGTCAATTGAATTTGATTAACTGGTTGATTTAGTAGCGGAAGGAAAAATGATTTCACATAGAGCCAGTTGGGCTTAACAGCATTTTTCCTTCAATAAATGAAAATTTAAAAACAGCATTTAGTGTTTACTTGAGTTATTTTTGTCTAATATCAAAAGTAGCCTGATGATCTGAAACATTCAAGTATGATAAATATGCATAAATATGCATTGTTATTGATAAGAAGCCAGATGGTCCCCCTCCTCTTTAGACCAGGGGACATGGCACCCTTGATTTCCAAAAAAAAATATTTTTTGAATCAGAGGACACTTTTTCAGTTCACCTCAGTCCATCTTAAATAAGCTCGGGCCCAGAGAAGGCATGACATTTCTGGATCCTGTGGACTGTGTTCACAGACAGTGGTTTTGGAAGTGTTCCTGAGTCCATGTAGTGATTTCAACTACATCGTGTCTTTTATTAAACCAACATTGGTTTTCATCTTGTCCCCTGCATACAGAGATTTCTCTGATTTTTCCAAATCTGTTAATGATATTCTGTACTGAAGATGATTTCTCTGCTATTTTACATTAAGAAACATTATTTTTGATTATTCTTTCAAAGAATTGTGAGCCCCTCCCTATATTTATTTCTGAATGCCACTTTTTATACTCAATCATGTTAATGACCTGTTGCCAACTTACCTAATTTGTTGTGAGATGTTCTACCATGCTTTTATTTTAAGCGTTACACTTTTATTTTAAGCGTTACACTAACTTTACCAGTCTTCATTACTTCTGTCCCAACTTTTTTGAAATATGTTGCTGGCATCAAATTCAAAATGGGCATATTTAAAAAAAAATAAAAATAAATAATAAATAAAAATAATAAATTTCTCAGTTTCAACATTTGATATGTTGTCTGTACTTTTTGCAATTAAATATGGGGTTTAAATGATATACACATTATTGCATTCTGTTTTTATTTACATTTAGCATTTTTTGGAAAAGGTTGTACAAAATAAAATAGAAAACAAAATAAGCCAAAAACAAGGGTGGAATGATTAATATATGATTTTTTTTTTTTGTTGGACGGGCTCAACTGTTGTGTTATTACCCACCCCAGACAAGTGTTTGTAGACAAAAGCCTTTGGCCCCTTAAATTCTTGATAAAAAATGTAACCTGCAAAAAAAATAGGTAGGAAAGGAGCACCTACATATTTCAGTAAACAAATGGCATGAGTTTATTGATTCTGTAGCAATATTAGGTGATGAGATTCAGTCAGATCAGACATGCCTTCTTATACCCTTTTCCAGCTTTAAGCTTTGTAAACCTGAACAAAAAAATTCTAAACCTAGGCCTATTTATTTAATTAATACATACACACATACCATGACTTGTGTGATTGTTGTCACTCACTAGTCTTTATTTACACTGTTTTGTACAAAATATAAAGCTTTATAATAAGCTTTATGAAGAAAAAAAAAGATCTATAAATAAAAATGTTTTGAGGTCCCAACGGGATAGATAATTCTTATGATTTTTTGCAAACATACAAATGTAGCATACATCAACAACAATTAAACACCATCAAATCTGCATGTTAGCTACAGCATATCACCTATCCTTGTTATCTATTACTGGTATTAAATATTTGTTTGAAACCAAAATAAGAAAACTGTATTCATAACTCTTGTTTAGAGTGACAATCAAGCAACCTGTTTTGACTTCGTATCCAAGAATATGTTAAAACTTCGAGGTTTTAAATAGTTTCTTAAAATGCAATTGTGTTTACATTTCAAATTTTTACACTGTAACAAGGTAAAGCATAAGTTGCGCCCTCTCTGTTCTTTTAGATACACCTTATATTTGTCTACCTTGGTACAAATCATCCTGGATCTTCCTCAGTAGCAGGTTGGCCTCAGCAACAAAATCTTATGAGCTTCACTACTGGCTTCAAATTTACACTGTGATGTCCACATAGCTGGACAAGCAAGATAATAATTGGTGTTATTAAAAAATGTCTCCACTGAGCCACATAAAGTAAAAGCTTGCGGGATTCAGGATGACATGCCAGGCTAGACTTTATTAATGCCAGATCAGGTTGCTAAATAGTCTTATTTAAACAAAAGGACAGTTTGCATACACCAATTTAGCAGACCAACAAACATGGAAACAGCAGTTTTTCATATAAATATGAACTTGGAAAGGGGAAGACTGCTTAGGTTTTTGTTAGCCAGCATTTTTTCAATAACTGAGAAAGAAAAAAAAAAGCATTAAGTGCTGACTATCATTTGCGTTCCTCTCACAACACGTAACGTGGCCATATCTAACAGGATCCATTATATTTAGGCACATGTCATGATGATAAACAGTAAGTGAGTGTTCCTATTTAGTCCACACATGTTTTTCTGAAGCTATCAGCAAGTATTTAGAGAGATTTGAGGTATTTGTGTGAAGTGAGGCACTGCTACCAAACACTGTTGTGACTGCTTTCTGAAAGACACAAGATAATTTTATGTGCAGTCAAATACATACAAGAAGCACAAAACATAGCACACTTTTTTAAGGAAGTTTCAAATCAGTTCATGGCAGTTTACCGGATCTCGTGTCTCAGGCAATGAAGAGAGAGATCTCAGTACCATGGCTACTGGAGTACCTTATCACAATGTGAGCTAACAGTACACATTCACTTGTTGGTAAAGATGTTAGTTTGAGGATTTACGGATTTTTTTTATTTATTTATTTATTTTTTGTGAAAATTCTATTTACAAATGGCCGTCTAAGATTCTTTAGTAAAAAACACTTTAGAAAATTACCTGTAAAAAAAAGTTGACTTTTATGATTATTGTTAGAGGGCTACAAGTCAGGGTAACAAGACTTTAATACAGTACACAAGCAACATCTAAGCGTGCATGGGTGTGTCAGCAAACTAAAACAGTCGCTTTTTGCTTTTTTTTCTCTGCTTAATTACATTTGCAACATTTTTTGGTCTTTTTTTTTTAACCAGTACAGTTGCTGGTCAGTGCCTTAGACATCTCTCCCAAAAATGGTATTTCCCCTAATGTTGTTATTAGCCTTGTCGGACTGCAAAAAACAAGCACCCGTCTAAAAGAGAACTTTCGTTGTCAACACACCCTTTTGCATCTTATGGTAAAATTCTAGAATTTTCTTCACACTTTTTCCATAATATTAAAATTTTCATGCACCCAAGAGCGGTTCTTGGGTACTTAAAATCCAAAGAGCAAAGCATTAGTTTACTGTCCTACAACTGCAGTCTTTACCTTACTGAATCAAATGCATATAACACTATGACAATCTGGGTTACTCAAATGATCAGAAAGAATTTTAAAAACCAAAGCACTGTTGGACACTCACAATGACAGTGAAACTAAAGCCAACTCATACAACACTCATACAAAAAATAATGTGAAAGTCCAAAATCTATGGACTTTGGACATACGAGAATAAAATGTTATCCATATGTGTTTAAATGCCCATTAATAAATACTGCAGGCGTAACACTGCCTGTAGTGGTCAACATAAGCATTCATAAATCTCTCTCATTTACAACACCCACACCTATAACTACCATTCAAAATTTTGAAATCACTTGCCATATTAACAATGTGTTATTTTATATATATGATGTACAATGTGGATTTAAATATTACGAGCTATTCACTGTAATATTTTCATCACCACTTTTGAAATATGGTGAATATTATTTTAATTACTTTATTCTTGATACTGTACATACCTTTTCAGTTATTTTAGTATCATCTACAGCTCTGGACATATTAAGTCCATTTTGTGCCAAAAGTTTTAAATAAAATAAAATTCACAAGCAAAATATTAAGTATCAAAATGTCCAAAATGTGTTGCAAATACAAATAATGATAGTTAAATCAAACAACTTTCAACTTCACATTAATATTGTGAACTAACTTTAGATATTTAAGCAAATTCGTCCTCCTTATCAGCTTGACTAGCCTAGTTAGCCCTAGCAGACACTGCTAGGCTAGTTTGCGCTAGCAGCTGTGAACTTGATAGGTTGTGCAGCTTCGTTCATTCATAAACAACTAACGTGAAGTTTGTTCTTCAATGTCCACGGTAAGTTATATAATTTTACCCAGGTCGACACAGGACCCATAAACTTGTGTAACATTAATAATTTAAAAGGAATATAACAAACATTGCTCATAATGTCGGATATGCCAGTAAAACGCTACATTCATAGCAGCACTCGGTACTGCCTCTTCCGCCATGCTGGGGTGGTTCATGTTCAGAAGACCTGTCACTCCAAATCAGCTGACCAATAGAGAGTGCAGTTGACTGCCCTCTTCTAAGACCGGCCCCTGCTAAAAAGTGCCAAAAGTCAGAAGCAAAAGAAAGATTTCTGCAGCAAAAGAGTGATTCCAGAAGCAAAAAAGATATCGGCAAATTCAGCAAATAGAAAAAATTAAAGCATAAATTGTAATACATTTATATCAGAATGAGTGAAAAAAGTTAAGTTTGATTTAACTTTCATTATTTATATTTGCAACGTATATCATTTTAATATTTCATATTTTGCTTGTGGATTTTATTATTTTGAAACCTGTAAAAATTCACAGAATAGGATATAACAATTTCATACATTTTATAGATTTATTATTGAAAACAGTGATTCCAAACTTTTGAACAGAGGTTTAAATGTGTCTGTGGAAGCATGCAGTGTAAACATTTTATAAAGTCCTTACGCAGGGACCTTAAACTGAAGTGTTACCATATATTGATATTGATACTCAAAATGGAATATCACATGTAAGGCTTGGCTTTCCATTCTTGCCATTTTAATATATATAAAGCACCTTAGATTGTGGAACAAATAAGGTGCAATCATTTACCATTGAAGGCAAAATTGTTCCTTAATCCTTCTAGACTACCTTAGTCATCTCTGCTCATTATCCATTCTTAAATTACAATCACCAACAAAAGGCTATATACTTCATTTAATCTATAAAACAAAGTGCATTTTCTCATTTGAAAACATCTTTATGCACCAACTGTTGTTTTGTCATCTCTCCAAGTCTTATAAGAATGCAATGTACCATGACATTACAGACTATATGTTCAAAATTTTGCAGGCATCCTTTCTAACTGGGGAATTCAGCTGCTTTACGGTGTGCCCACTGCTGACACAGGCATTGAATTGTGCGCACATAGCTTGTATAGTCTTGTATAGTCTATTGCAGGGGTGCCCTTATCTGCAAAGGGCTGGTGTGGCTGCAGTTTTTTTTTCCAACAAAGCAGGAGTACAGCTGATCAGTTGTTTGAAGACTTAGCAATTGATTAAATGAGCGGAGTCAGGCAAGTCCCTGCTTGTTTGGAATGAAAACCTGCGGCCACACCGGCTATTGGCAGATAAGACTGCATGCCACAGGTCTACTGTCAACATGCCCTATGTCCAGGATGGGCTGTGAAGTGGTGCAACTGCTATTCTGGGGTTCACTGCTTATTATTGAACATGAGTACCTGACCTAATTAATGCTCTTGAGGCTGAATGTGTTCAAATCCTCACAGCAATGTCCTGGAGCCTTCCTAGAAGAATAAAGGCAGTTTCTGCAGCAAAGGAATAGGGAATACTCCCTATTAACACCCTTGATTTTTGTAGAAACGTAGGATGAGCAGGTGTCTACAAATGTTTGGACTTATAGTGCATCATTCTACAAGCTATGAGGTAATAGATAAACTCTGATAAGCTTCACATCTCTCTGGAAGTCAATTTATGGAATACTGTATCATGGATGGTTTATCTGTTAAGGCTGTACTCTAAGCACCATCTCTTGAGTTACATTTTGCATCCATGTAAATTGTCTGTAATTCTGTGGTTGCACCTTCATACTGTACTAAACAAAGGTAGTTGTGACATGTATAATCATCCGTTTGAATGTTAAAAGTTCTACATTTAGCTGTAAAAAATAAATACTTAATGAGAATTGATAGTCATGAGAAAAAGAGAGATTTCTTCGGTTCCTTGAGCAGATGTGGAGAAAACACACAACATCTCTAAGTCTGATGATCTCTGTACGTTTCAGGTGCAGTGATTGCCATGCACTTGTAGATTAGATAAGCAAAGGAACGGATAGATCAATGGTGCAAATACATTAGTTTTCTTCCCCCCGTATATTTTTGACTTTCTTTTTTCAGTTAGAGTACAGATGCAAAAGACAAAGATTTGGTCATTTCTATAGTTGAGTCTGCATATCCTTTACAGTTTTTTTTTGTAGAGCCTGCATAACCATTACAGGAGGAAACACTCTTTACCAACTGCACAAGAAAATGTTTTAACAGACTTAGCCATTAGTGAGCGCTTGAGTCCAGATCTTTTTGGCGTTCAAAGCGTGGCTTGGAAACTGGGGTCCACTGAAATGTTCCTTTCTGGCGACTCAATGTAGTTGGCTGATTCCTGCAGTTTCAGCAGCATAGCCATCTGAATGAGTGGTAGATAGCATATAAATTTTTCTGTAAGCCATTGTTAAATTAAGTACTATCTTAACATACAGCAGCACTGGGAACTGCAACAAGTCTTTCACTAAATGATTTCTCTGGTGCTTTGCAGAAAATGAAGCATGGAGCAGCATCAAAAGGACCTTGTCATATCAAGATGGCTGATCTCAAAACTGCAAAATTGCCATGCATATTCTGTAACCCCTATAAATTACTGTCTATACTTTATCTAGCCTTTACTTAAATATTCAACACACAATTATTTTTTCATCATTATTTGAGGCAAGCTCATTATAAACATTATGAAAAATGATGTGGACAGCTTAAAACATCAGCTGTTCTGTGTATAACACTTTTTATAGACCTGCTGTGAAGCCTTACCAGTGGGTCTGACTCCATGGCCAGTAGCTGTGTGTCCTTTCCAGGCCTGTCACTGTTGGGCTGTGTTGGGACAGTGTTTGGGCCACCAGTGGGGGGAGGGAGGTGGAAGAGCTTAGCTTGGTCCTGCTGGGCTGAGGGCCAAGGCAGAGTGTCCCGTACCCACTCCACTGGGTCCTCCCATACTGCCTTCTGACAATGAACCTGCAGCAGATAGCGAAACGCTAATGACCCAAATTTGCTCAGTAAGTCACAGACAACCAACCAACCAATAAAATATGAAGTACAGAGCTCTGCCACAACCTGTATAAAGACAGCCTAATTTTACACACACACACACACACACACACACACACACACTTTCTAAGCCATGGGGGAACTGAAGCCTATTCCAGCGGTCACTGGGCGGAAGGCAGGAAACACTCTGGACAGGTTGCCAGTCCATCGCAGGGCAGACACACAGAAATATATATTCACACACAGACACACACACACTCACACCTAGGGGCAATTTAGTGTGTCCAAATGGCCTGACTGCATGTCTTTGGACTGCGGAAGGAAACCAGAGCCCCCAGAGGAACCCATACAGACACGGGGAGAACATGCAAACTGCACACAGAAAAGACCCTGGTCGCCTGGCTGAGAATCGAACCCAGGCCCTTCTTCGGTTTGTATGCATCACTTTGAACTGCCAGTATTGTACAGATTCGCTCTATGTTGTGAGACAGTAAATCAGCAGACAGACTTTAAAATTGGTAGACTTTTTAATGATTTGTTGTAAATATGGCTCTCCTGAATGTGTTGCTCTACAGTCTCCTCTACAGGGAACAAACTTAAATATGCCATTTTCTGCATATTTTAGTGCAAAACGTCTAATTTTTGCTGAGTTTAACATATTTATATTTATGTTCTTTTCACATATGTTAAATTTAGCAAATAAACAACAACTGTGCATGAAAATGTACGGAAGTGTAATCTCTGTAGAAGGTATGTTAACTTCACTTAGCAAATCAACAAAATTTAATTTGTCCTGGGGTGCCTAAACTTTTGCATGAAACTGTATTTTCAATTGAATGATGCTTTTGTTCTTGTCTTTGACTTGTTTTTTTTTTTTTGTCTACAGCCCCCCAAAAAAGTGTTTGTTAATGTTGTCAGTTTATTTTCTGTGATGATATTTGGCTTCTACATCAGCAGCCAATAGCAACCTTTCCAAGGTGAGACGTGATGAGACGTACATGTACAGGGGGTCCAATAGTCTAAGACCACTACCACAAAAAACCTCTTTTTTGCATTCTTTTCTAATTTAATACAAAGTTTTTCTTCACAAATAACATTTACAGAAAAGTAGAAGTTTTGAAATTTTAACACAAATTCAGAATTAAAAAAAATTCAAAGAATTTATATCTCCCCCTTTTGCTCCACAAGTTTGTGCAAAAGATTCTGATGAGTACAGCAAATCCACCTGACATTTCTTTGTTTTACATTTTTCAAAATTTTACTTTCTGTTTTTAATTTAAAGGTTTAAAAGAAAGAAAATCCAGATTTTCAATATTGTCTCAGACTTTTGGACCCTGCTTTATATAGATATGTTTAAAATTCCATAAAGTTTTATGGAAATAATTAAGCCTTAAATAAAAAAAATACTATAATAATAATAATAATATTAATTACATTAATCATAACTATTTTGCAGACTTCAGCAGTTACGGTACTACCTTCCCTGCTCACAACTGATTTGGTGTGGCCTGGTATCCAATAGGTACGGGTCTGCAGCCTGGTGTTTGGGGAAAGTCTGCCTCAGTGGTCTTTTCAGCATAGACTCAATCATTTTCTTTATCAAAACCTTATCAGTGAAACATGAACAATTTCCCCTACCTTCATCCCATCCTTTGCTCCTTCTTGCAGATAGGGAATAATTGACTGGTTCCACAAATCAATGAACCAGGAACGAAACTCTGCTAATGTCACTGGACATGACAGGAAAAAACATGGACCTGCAAAAACAACAGTGAGTCATGTAACAGGACCTACTACCACCACTGTCAAAGGAAATGTCAGAAGAAATATTCTTTTAGCAGAAATGTGACAGACTGACAAACAGGACGGTACCAATGAGGAAGTCGGACGTGCTGTGTTTCTCCAAAAATGTGTGCAGGTGGTACCAGAGCTTGGGGACCCAGTCCAGCACCTTCAGCAGCTCTCCATGGTGCACTGTGCTCTCGTCCTCTGCCTCAATCAGCTTCCTGTGCAAGTAACGCAACAGGAAGCCATTGGCAGGCTCCACGTTGTTGGAGAAGGTAACCATCCTGATTAAAGATACAGAAAAATGGGAAATAATCTAAATAACCATGACATGAATCGTATGCTTGTTCATGAAAGTATCTCTTTGATCAAAGGTTTAGATCATTTGTTGACAGGTGCCATGCTGTTGACATAAATAGCAATCCTGGAGGAACAATAAATGCTGTAACATACTAACCAATAAGTGTCTGAGCATACCTGAAACTGAGGTGCAGGCCATGATTTGATGACATCTTCACGGGTTGATTGGTTGTTCCAATGATGTATGGGCTGTGATAAGTGAGAAAACAAATAATTATTCATTTAAGTGAACACATTTTAAAACAGTTTATTTTTGCAGTCCTTCAAAAACAAATTTAGTTCAAGCATTTCTCACCATTTGTGATATTTGCACGTCAGTGCACTGTTGACCATCTCACTAATAGATGCTGCATCACTGACATCATCTAAAACAATGACCAATGGGATGTCTTCTGCACTGCAGTCACGGTCAATCTGATTGGCTAAATTCGACAAGTACAGCTGGAGCTCCTGAATGGTAGAAAATTGAGGTGCACATTCAGACAAAATCCATGGCAACTGCCACTTTACTGGACAAACAAACAAAAGAAAAAATATGTAAATGTGTATTGTTTTTGGAGTAACGTGATGATTTCAGTGACCTTGATGATGTTTTACTGTAACATAATACACAAAGGTTTTTTTTTTCAAACCTATATGCCTCAAAGTTTTTTTTTTCAGAGAAGACCTTTTTCTGACAGTGAAATTTAGCCCAAGACTAGACATTAAATTAACATCCTATTTTTCAAAATATTTTTGCATAATTTAACCAAGTCATTCAGAGAGGTTTGATGTGAAATCTTACCAACACTGATTTCGTTACAGTGGTAGTGATAGGAACAAGGAGTTGGGATGTCTACAATGCAAATATAGTCATTTTCTTTTTTCTACAATGGCCAGTTGCTATCCAAAACAACCTACACGAGTTTTCATGTGATGTTAATAGTCAACCTGAAGGGAAAAAAAAAATTCTACAGGGTACTATTTTGCCTTATAACACACTGTATGTACCAATCTGCCCTGCATGCATTTAAAATTAAAATTCTCAGAACTACTATAAAACAATATCTCAGGCATTAGGTAATATATCTGTAACTATTCTGTGTTACAGCTTTTTGTGAGATAGCCTTTAGAATTATTAAATAGTTCTGCTTCCTGTCACCACTGCTGTTTTAAAATCAAACCACTCTAAACGACTTTATTTACATTTTAATGGCTTAATTATGTAGAAATAAAAACTGTGAATTTCTCCTTTAATCTGTGTCACAAAAACTCACCCATAATGTACATTCACAATTAAGATTTAAATTAATAGTGTCATCAAAAATGCTAACAGGTAAACTAGTAGACACCAGTTACCATCTAATTTTCATAATAGCATTTCTTTTCATTCTTTATTAGCAACATTAGCATGGTTGAAGTTTTTCTTTAATTATCAGATGACTAGATAGATGCTCACCTTGCAGGTCTGCTGGTGCATGTTGAAGCTAACAACATGGCCAAGGGATCCCTCATGGCCAGTCTTCTCTAGCAAGTAATAAGCCAGATGAGAAGTGAGGTGGGTTTTTCCTGTGCCACTGGGACCTGACAGAATCAGTCGTCTGTGCTTCAGCAACAGACTAATGTAGTGTTGCATCATTGGCTTGGGAATGAGTGTCTCAAAGACAAGACTGTCCACACATTTTTCCTTAAAACCTAAGAGAGGGTAAAAAAAAAGGAGAGGTAAGGGGAGAAGGAGAGTATAAACTTAATTTATTACAAACAATGGAGAGGAACAAAAATGAAAAATTAAGGTAGAAGGCTAGAATTCAAAAAGGAAAGAATTACAAAGAGAGAGAAAAAAATCCTGAAGATGGACTGTAAGAAGGAAACCCTTTCATGTCAATTAATAAATTGTGATATGGGGAAACATATGATACAAAAGACATAAAATCAATGATTATAAATGTTAACAGAGAAATAGTCTACAAAAATGCTAGATATTTCAGTTTGAATCTAATTGCAGACTTGTATCTTCATGAGCTCATATGCAATCATGACCAACAGTACCAGTCTTAATAAATCTTAATTACATTTGTTTACATTTACAGCATTTGGCAGACGCGACTTACAATTTTACATTTTTCACACAGGTAGGCGAAGGTAGTGTCAGGAGTCTTGCCCAAGGACTCTTATTGGTATAGTCCAGGGTGCTTACCCAGGCGGGGGTTAGAACCCCAGTCTACAGTGTAGAAGGCAGAGGTGTTACCCACTACCCTGTACCGACCACCATGGTATAGTGTATAGCTTTAGTGTGCAATTCTGTGCTTGCACATGAAAAAGTGTTCAGTGACCAGGCATATTTTGTCACCAATGAGCCTGTGTGTGTGTTCATGTACATGAGAAATTGAATGTCATGTGCAAAAGATATATAAATTAAAGGACTATTGCCTGGGTTTGCACACAACTGAGGCTGGTTCATCAACTGTTATTAAATCACTGCCTGTTTACATATCATACCACAGTTTCATGAATCAGACATGGAGTATGCCAGCTTGGGTTGTGCATGTTCCTGTGCAACCTGGACAAGCAGGAGCCAGTGGGAAAAGAGGAATTAAACAATGAAAGTTTACCTTTAAGGGTCACAGTAATAAGTCCAGGCCCTTTATTCAGAAAGTAAGAGGGCAAACTATCTGGACTTTTGTCGCCAAGTTCCCGCTTGACTTGGTTTATACTGTAACTGTGTATTGAGTCTACAGACAGTCCCATGCTAGCACTGGGGTCCACCTGGGAAAGGTAGTCCTAAAAGAGACAAGCAAACTAAAATTACAGGTACTACACATGCACAATATTAAAAACAATCAAGAATCAAATGTATTTTAGTCCATTTCATTTAATTTGAGCCTAGTTTAACTATTTCATGCTTAGCATAGCATAACCCACCTGGAAAGTTGTGGTGATGACTGTGTCCAGTGTAGCCCAATCAGTATTCGAGTCTATCTTTACTGAACCAATATAGAAATCCTGTTTCACCTGCTAAATCAATAGACACACAGGTTAGCAACCCAATATACAGATTTAAAAAAATATATATTTTCTATTTAGATAGCAATACCTCTCTAGATAACTGTTGGTCAGCCATGCGGACCACCACACGCAGCCGAACCTCATCTCTTGGGGAAGATAAACTCAATACCTCCATGGGTACATTGTCTAGAGAAAGAAAAAAGAAAATCTGACTCATGCATAATTAACCCATTCTATTGAAGTTAAGTGCCATCTTGCATTTTAATGTAAATGAGTCGCAATTGCTGCTTGTCAAATGTTAAAGTCAACCTAAATTATAAGTGGTTAGAGGGAATCTGGGAAGGATGTGGTTACATGTTAGTTTTAGTCTGTCATAACTACTATTTAATGTAATTAGTTAATTAATTAGTCGAATGACAACAAAACGTTAATGACAAATTCGCCAAAGTTGAACATATTCTGTCAATTGTTACAGCTAAACAATGGCAATGGTTGGCTGGCTTGAACTTACTTGGCTCAGAACACTCATTAAGGCTAAGACTACAAGACCTAGCCAGGTTTGTGGCAGTTGTGAGGTGGCCAGATCCAAGCATAGCAGCCAGTCCTGATGGCTGAGAGGTGGAGGAGGTGGGGGGAACGCAAGGGAGCACCAGTGACTGTGGAGCACTTCCTGTTTTCAGCTGGTCATTTTCTGCCTTCAGGTTTTCAACTGTTAACTGAAGGGAAAAAGTGTCATCTATCAGTACAGGTCTCTAGAATAGCAACAACTCTAACAGTGCTTATAAAGAAGTAAAGGTAATGGGGCTAGTCTCATTTTCATAATGCAAACAATGCTTTACAATGTTTGCATTACTACTAACATCATTTTTGGATGAAATGTTTGATTAAAAGGCAAACTCACTAACTGTGGTGGAAAAGTACACAACATGAGATGCTGGCAAACCTGCATGTTGTTCATTGCTTCTCTCAGCTGTTCCAGTTGATGGGCTGAGTTTAGTGCCTCTAGACGGATATCTGTCAGCTTCATCTCTTTCTCCCAGAGCTCAGAGCGAAGCTCAGACACCACTTTTTCTTCACTTTCCTGCTCCTCATTCCCTTCATAGATCCTACAAAACAATCATTCAGATAAATGAAAGCTTTCAAATAAAATCAATTCAATGTACTAACAATGCAACAAAGGTACTGAACTGACAGAGTGTCAGAGTGTTTCTCCTTTTGTTACCCAGGTGCAATTGTTTATAAATGTCTCAGAGCACATTTTTTAATGTTTAAGAATTTCACAGAAAGGAATAGTTGCTGCTTTGCAGTTAATTTTCAGATGCTTCTAATTTGCAGAAGCTGGCAATGCTATGATAGTATTACTTTTTTTTTAATATATATCCAAAGTCATACTTCACTACATGAACAAAACAACCAGCTTTCAGTGGGTAAAGAGATATCACTCACACAGAAGAAGAGTTTGTCTGGGTGGACTGAAGGGACATGGGCATATCCTCATCTCCTTCATGGCTCAGTTTGGGAGAACTGGGGGCAGAGGAGTCGGGAGTGGCGATTTCCTCAATGTCAGAGTACAGAGAGCCGGACTTTGTGCCCTTCTTAATGCTAAATGCCTTTCCAAAGGAGCTCCGTAACTAGAAGGAAGGAGAGAAAGAGAGAGTGAGTGTGTGTTAGAGTGAGAGAGTGCAAGTACAAAATACATTGGAGAGCTGTTTGTTAAAATCAAATCATGTATTTATTATTACCTCAGGCGACAAAGAGTAATACAAATGCAGAGTAAGAAATGTAACCAACTGCTTATTCCCAGCTGTTGCTATTGTTAGAGAGAAATTATAACTGCTAGATGGAAAGCTGAACATTACTATTTTTGTGAGAACTCATGTCTCATTTTAGTTTCTGATTACTTCTGCACTTCAGTGTTAGATTTGTGCTAAACAAAATACTTGAAGTGTAAAGAAGCAGGCATATTTGTTTTCAGTGACTATTTTTAAAAAAATACACAGGAGGGTTCAGGTATGGAAAATTGATGCACCATGTGTCCATGTGCATGTGCATCTTTTTAAGGTGAGACCTGTTCATCAGCTATTTTGACAGTAAATTCAGACAAAAGCATGAATTTTAAAATGAAATATAATTTGCAGTTTACTTTAATTAAATGATTTAATAAAAGACTAATTAAAATACTAACAATTACAAAAAAAAACCCTCATTTTTTTTGCTTTGCTACACAGTTTACAACATCTTGTGCTGTCAATAATAGACAACAAAACAAATTTTTGCAACAAAAAATTCACTGCTGTGTTATTACTCTTCACATGCAGGAACTGTAAAGGCACATGCTATGGCAGTATTACTGGTGCAATTGTTGATTGTTCTCTCAGATCACTAAATTCTATTTATTGAGGCCTAAGTAACTATACAGGTCAGCTGTTAAAATGAAACATACACAGGGTGAATATCCACTAAAAATCTTTCTGTTTTAGTTGATCAAGCCTGTAATGTCTCTGTGGACATAGGGAGGGTAAGCAAGTATTCTGACACATTTTGCTGTTGTCGGAAGAAAACCTCGTATCTCCATTTTTTTTGACATAACTTGAAAATACCTTGATGAATGGACTAAAAGAAATGGCCCATAATTACTTAGAAAAAAGTCTAGTTCCATTGACTTACATTCAAAGTAAAGTAGGTTTTTTCCTTCTCCTGTAAAGTTACCGTTCAGGAGATACAAAGTCTGACAACAGTGATTTGTTTGTTATTTATTACATTTTCAGTGCATATACCCACCCTAAATTTACACGCATAATATCTTTTTACTTTGTACTAATGGCAAAAAATGTATTGATAAGCATGAACATAGATACACTATATAGACAAAAGTATAGGGACACACCTCCTAATTATTGAGTTCAGGTGTGTTAGCCATACCCCTTGCTCACAGGTGGATAAAATTAAGCATATAGCCTTTGTGATAGACAAACACTGGCAGTAGAATGGGTCATATCGATGAGCTCAGACTTTAAATGTGGCACTGCCATAGGATGCCACATCTGCCAGAAGTCATTTTGTGAATTTTTTGTCCTGCTAGATCTGCCCGTCAACTATAAGTGCTATTATTTTGAAATGGAAGCATCTAGGAGCAACAACAGCTTAGCCACAAAGCGGTACACCATGCAAACTCACAGAGCAGGGCCTGAGTTACAAATTTCATCAGCAAAAGAACTGTGCATCAGGAGCTTCACAAAATGGGTTTCCACGGCCGAGCAGCTACACACAAGACTAATATCAAAATGCACGGTGCCAAACAGGGGGATGGTAGTGTAAAGCACACTGCCACTGGACTCTGGAAACTGCAAAGTTTGATGGAGGAGGGATAATGCTATGGGGTTGTTTTTCAGGTGCCGGCCTAGCCCCCTTAGTTCCAGTGAAGGGAAATCTTAATGCTTCAGCAGACCAACCCCATCAAGCACCTTTGGAATGAACTAGAACAGAGACTGTGAGCCAGGTCCTTTTGTCCAACATCATTGTCGGACCTCCCAAATGCTCTTCTGGATGAATGGGCAAAAGTTCCCAAAGACACACTTCAACATCTTGTAGAAAGCTTCCTAGAAGAGTAGAAGCTGTAATAGCTGCTAAGGTGGGACCAACTCCATATTATTGCCTAAAGATTGCCTTAGAATGGGATGTCATAAAAGCTCCCGTGGGTGTGTAAGAGTCCCAGTACTTTTCTCCATATAGTGCATGTTTAAAAAACAAAATTGATAGGGCAAAACTATTTGCACACCACCAACATTTGTACTTTGTTGCAAAGCCATTGCTGCCAATTCCAGCTTTGAGACATCTAAGGTAAGAAGGTAGTTCGTTTTCTGCGGCATTGTGGTTCAGTTTTGGCCCATTCCTCTTGGCAAACCTTCATCTGTCCAAGGTTGCAAAGATCCCTCTGTTGGACTCACAATTTAAAACATGCATTTTCAATGGGATTCAGGCTAGGCCATGTAAGCACTTTTACCTTTTTAGAAACAAGTCTTGAGGGAGCTCATTCACCTTCACCATGATTGCAAGTGTTTCCAACCAAGTCTATTATAATGGCACCAGGTGCAATTTGCACAAAAACATGTATTCTTTTAATTTTGCGGCATTAAGTCATAGAATGTAGAGATGAATTTTATTTTTAACTTTTCAACGTATATACTTCTTAATACAGTGTCTGAATAATTTTTCCCTATAAATTTTGTTTTTTAAACACGTTTTTGTTTATGTTTGTAAAGACATTGTATTTATAAATATGAACAAAAAACAAAAGTCAAAAGACATTTTGTGTCAATATTATGTGGATATATGCACTGGAAGTACATTAAATTAAAAAAAGTGACTGAATACTTGTTTCCCCTCACTAAATATTATGAAGACATTTGCACAAAGTAACAAAGGCACTGACAATGTACATTTGTTTTGTATAGTAACAGGAAAAAATATATTTATGAAATTCACTGGAAATTGCTATGGTTGTCGTTAACCAAAATAAAAATCACAGCATGGAATGAAAATAATCACATTTGGCATCACAAATTTTAGTCTGTTAATTTAGGCAGAAGACTCACCTCATAGACCTCAGATTTCACAAGATAATTCACAGGACAAGGAAAATAAGAGAAGAGTTGGGGTTACAGTCTAACAAATTACCATTTAAATGGACAGGCACAGAGGCAAAACAATACGTTGAGGTGGTTACTGCACGCTTCTCTTTTCTCTTACCCAGTTCTTTTTCTTTTTCTTTTTGACATCCTCTTTCAGACTGCCCAGACTTGAGTGGCTGGTAATACTGTTCAGACTAGCGATGCTCTCTGATGAGTTCTGTCTCTTAATTCGAAGCTCTAAGAGAAAGAAAGTTATTTGGCAAGGCACATTCCTGTTACATCCCTAAGACATGCAAAGCTGTTCAGCATATTTCTGGTGTTAAATGGGAAATGGTATAATGTAGTATTTCATTAGGTAAACCCTGAAAAAAGGTATTTTTTCTCACCTTTAGGGGTAACACTGGGGTTATTGAGTGCTACTTGAATAACAGCCTGTGCCTCAATGTTCCTGGCTTTCAAATTTTCTATGGTCTTCCTCAATTCCATTAGCTCAGAGTCCTGCAGGGACAGACACCACCATTTGAGCATCTTCTCAACAATTACAAATAAATGAACACAGTAAAATTAAGTTGATTTGCCTAGTATTAAACACAAATGTGCTTAATGTCCCTCATAGATTGAGTAGAACCTTTGTAAAACATTTATTTTCTTCATAAGTTGGCATTCTAGGATTCTCTGTCACTTGTCTGAGGACTGTATGGTGAATCGTTGTACTTATCCGTTGGCCACCGAATCCAGGGAGAGCAGCAATGTTGCTAAATTTCTTCCATTTATTAACTGGCTGACCATGGTCTGACAAGTAGCAAACCTTTTCCTTCAACAACATTTCTTCTGAGCTCACACTGTAGACTCACTGCACCATATTACTCTTGAACAGAATTACAGTTGTGAAGAACAAGTAACCAAATCTTTTTATCCTTTTTACCATTTTTACCCTTTTAATGTGGCAGAGCAGGTCAAGTGGATTGCCTGGAACACTCCATACCAATTATCCTCTTTTCAAGAGGTTATTTTCCAAAAAGTTCAATACTACTTCTATCAATGGCACTGACTACTTAAACCATTTGTTCAAACAACATATTGCACTGTTAAAAGTTGTCTTTAGGTAGGTTATTTTTATGATTTATATGAAGGTTAGACCATATTTCAGGAGCCATTCAATAAGAAACACAGACAATTCTAAAGAGTTCAAACTTTTTCTTGCAACTGTATGTACAAGTGAGAGTTTAAAAATGCACAACATTTTGTATTTTCCGCTTGAGCCTGACCACCACTGGTGTGGACTCGGACTCACACAAACTGGGGTCTCATTTATAAATGGCACCTATAGAATCAGGTCTGGAATGTGCATATGCAACATCTAATGCAAAAACCGGGATTTATAGAGTAATATTTGGCAGGGAAATGGGGGTACATTTACAGAAGCTTTGACCCATGTATTCAGCCATTAAAAAACATTTGGGTGAGAGTGGGAAATGGCTAAATGCAGCTTAATGCGCAAACCATGCTCACACATACCAGTTCATATCAAATTAAGCTCTTGGTCATACCTAAGTATTGTTTATATGTTTATGGATGTATTTGGGTATACTAATTAATTATTCTGTTTTTACGGTTTTGACATTTATTGCTCCAAACAACTACTTGCGTCCTCTAGGGCAACTGCTCCATCATTAGCTTAGCTGAGGTTTAGAGTTTAACCAGAGTTTAAACCTGAATGAGTCACATGGATTCTTAAACTCCATTGCTGTGTCCTTGAAAGCTGAAGTTTAAAGCTCACCTGTGGTTTAAACTAAATCAGCTGAGTCACTTAAAAATCACACATGCAACTAGATAGTGACGTTTATCAGGTTTAACTGAGGTTTATCTTAAACCTGCAAAAGACATTGGTTCTACTGAGGTTTAAAGCAAGATTTTTGTACTAGGAGCACATTTTTGCCCAGATATTATAAGTTTTTATACCTAGATCCATATACCTTCTGTCATAATGTTTTGTGGACTTTGTAGTGTGTTTTAATTTAATGCTATATTGCTTAATTAAAAACACTCACTGACTTATAATACTCAACTAGAGGAAGTGTGAATCACTGCAGTACTGATTAGGCTTTTTCAAAATGTATTGTTCAGTGGAGCTGAAGTTGACCTGTGTTAGGCTATCACTAATATCGACTCCAATGGGAAACTGTATCAGACATGCATATCAGCAAATATTTATTCTTCATTTTCCCCTCCAGAAGGGCAGAAAGAAAAGCAGTGCACTAGCCAGGTTGAACAATTCAAAATGATTTGCAAAACTAAGCAGAATGCATTGCCTGCAGTGTCTTTAGTCTAACGGTCAGTGTGCAATATTAAAGTTGGACAGCTGTGCAGCTCAGCATGAGTGTGGGACATGGGGCTTCTCCCAGTTGACTGCCAAATTGTGTAGTACTGCACAAGAGACAGTCATGTTTTTCCTCTGGTTCGCTGTCCGATGGCGAGGCAAGCAAAGCGGCTCCAAGTTGAGAAAAAAAAAACAGTTTAATGCAGCAGCGCTTGTGGCATCTGTTAAACCGTAGCTTCATGGTGAGCGGGTAAAGTGGACCTTCAGAGAACCACTAAAACCCTTCATCGAGTCGAGTCATTTCTTTCGCTTAGTGTCGCTCAGTTTAATGTCTGTTAATCATTTAAAAACTCACTCAGTTTCCTTGAGTGGCACGATTTTAGTGGATGCATTTTAATTATGAGTAGCATAACAGAAGACACAGCATTGTACACAGTGAGGCCACACTCAGACTGTGTAATTTATATATATATATATATATATATATATATATATATATATATATATATATATATATATATATATATATATATATAAATAAGTTTTAATAACAGGTGTCTGTTAAACTCCTGAAGTTACCGGTTTAACCAAACCTGTGTTAAACGGAGACTACATTTCAGATAATTACAAGCCTACACAGCTGAAAAGTATTTGCACACATTTATAGAACTTTTTTGTCATTCGTTCCATCATTGGCACCACCACCCCACGCAACAATACACAGGACACTCCATCGCCTATTTAAGCATTCCAGAGGTAACGCGCATGGATGATTGTGGGTGGTAAATAGGCCGAACATGAGGCTTGTTCACTAGTGCAAATTTTTAAGATTGTGATATAATCAAGAGGAAACGGTGTTCAGGTTTGTGTACGGCTACATACAGAAACTTTTGATAATGCTCATGTCCTCCCTTCCTACTGCTCCTCTCCTACCCTGGAAGAACAGCAGGACGAATGTGAGAGAATGAAGGGAAACTGGGGTAATTGGCAAGTATTGTAAGCGGCTTCGCTCATCTCACGAGACCTGGAAACCGTTTTCGTGACACCGACTGTCCTAACACCGGAGGAGATGAGAGAAGTTGTTTAAATTGCCCGCCAATGCGGGTTCCAGCAGAGGATACGAGTGTACTTTTACAGATTTTAGAATGACATCCCTAGGCTAAGTTCATCAATTGTCGATGTCAACTTTAACAACACTGAAAGGAGTTAGCTGTCCCGTTTGTTTCTGCACCCTTCCTCTCCTTGATTCCTCTGTGTTCTACCGGGGTAGGAAAAGAGCAGCAGGGAGGGAGAGGTAGGGCAGGAGGAGTAGCGAAAATTTCTGGACACAGCCAAGGTTTAACTAATCTGATTTGTTTGGGGTGCACGTCATTTCCTGGTTTTCGTGCGCACCCACACTTTCACTCCGGAATCCACTCTTTTTACTGCAGTGCTTTATTGGTTGTTCTAAACTTGTAAACCGCATTGGGTCATGGTCTTTCAGTTTTTAGAGACTTTGTCATCATATGAAATCTCTTTTACTTAGCCTTGTTACTCATTATTTTAGGAAGCGGTTAGAAAGTTATATAGGATATTATGATTCTGCTTGTTCACAGTGGTGTAGTTTGATTGTCTACCTTCTGTTCAGCACTGGCTGAGAGGGACTGCAGGCGTGTGGTCATTAGGGCGAGACTCTGTTCAAACGCTGCCACCAAGTTAGCCTGTAAATGAAAAGTGCAATGTCTAATGTCATATTAAGCAATTTAAATGTTTGTGTCTCTGCAACATTACAGAACTTATAATTTGAGAATTGGGGGTGCTCAACTGGGTTTCTTCCAGGTCAGAGCTCTGCAGAGTTATTAGTTTTACTCTTGAGTGTTGGAAGAGGGAAAATGCTAATCCCAGCAGAGATGTGGCTTGGAAAGAACCTAGTCTGACTCACCAACCTGAAGTTTTGGTTAAGTGCTGCAGCATACTGTATACCAGATGAAGGGGAGCTCAGTAAAATACCTGCTATATGACTCAGAATATCTCATGTGCTTTAAAGCCTCCAAAATTTCAGGGCAAATCATCAATGCATTGCAAAGATAGTAAAAATTCTTTAAAATGCTATTTGTACTCCTTCCAAGAGATTACAATCAGTAGAAGCATGAAAGAACCAGCTTTTTTCATTTTAGGCAGTAGTGCATACACGTGTATACTGTACAGACGCACATACATTAGCAGACAGCTGAGAAGTCAGGCTGGCCACTTTCTCCTGGGAGGACTCCAGCTCTCTTCTTAGCTTACGAATTTGCTGTGGATAAAAACAAAACTGACCTGTTAGTCCCAAATTGTAGACATGCTTCAGTGGCTCAGTTACAGTGGCCCAGACTGTTGCAGAGCTTATGTTATATGAAGGCCAAACTTACATGTGTAAAATAAAAACTATCTAGAGACATGACTCATTACATTCCTGGATAGTATAAATTCCTACAATACAAACTGAATTCCAAAGAAGTCGGGACAGCAGGAATAATAAAAAGACAGCACTGTCTTACATTGCCCCGTCCAAACTTTTTTAGAATGTGTTCATCAAATTTGAAACTAGCCCATATTTACAAAAATCAAAAAAGTTGAAAAAGTAAAATATCTTTATATTAAGTATCTTTCTTTTCTAATGTTTTCAATACCTGTAAAAGACAGTTTACAAATTACTGCTGTCTATTTTCATTTGAATTCACCTAACGTCCTGACTTTTTTTGGAACTGGGTTTGTATGTTCAGTCTTTAGCCATTCTGAACACACTGCTTACCTGAGCTTAAATTAGCAGGGAATCTATTTATATGTTTGAACATCAAATTTTAAGACTTGTGCAGTGCCGTACTGAGGACTAGTCAGGGATATCTGCATATGAGAGACACAGCTGTGCTTTGTCATTTGCACTCTGGTGGTAATTTTGTTAGACACAACTGTAACCTTCCATCAAACTGAAATTCACACTATAGTTTCAAAAGGTTCAAAAGGTCTTACTGAACGCTTGCAGTTTATACAAAAGTTTTATTACTCTGCTTCTGTACAGGTTGAGTTTTACATTTCAGTTCATTTGTTTTGGGTGAATTAAGAGGTGGAGCAACAGCATGTGAAAATCAGTGAGGCAAATTTTGTTTGTCTCCGGTTCAGTCCACAGGGGCTTGCACCCTTTCTTATGATGATTGTTTTATTATAAGGGCATATAACATTGGACATGCTACTTAAAACTTACTTGTTGGTTAGGTGTTGCTTCCAAATAATACAAGTTAGACAGCTAGTGAATCGTAGCTACAGAAATTGTAACAAAATTACAAACTGTCTAAATACTAATAGCTAGCTAGACTGTCCCTTGTCAGTGGGGGGTCTATGATACCACTGTTGAGTCTATGATAACAAGCAGTAATTAAAATCAGGTAACCTAAATATCATAAAGTCAGAATTTCTAAATAAATTAATTAATGGAATATATGAAGACAAAAAAATCTGGAAAAAAATGCATGTTTTCATTATCATGTGAAACTTTTCATAGTTATCCTCCCTTTGCACCTCATTGTTGCAGTATGCAGGTATTATGGAAGGTCAGATACATTTCAGATAAGGAACAGGTTGAAAGTTTGAAGAGGAACAGTGTGTTCTAACTAACTGATACTCTAATCACTGCTTTCATAGTAGCTGTGCTGGAAAAAGCCTATAGCACGGCAGTGGCCCAAGAACAAACAGATTACTATAGTTTTCAATTCTATTGCTTAAAGGCTAGACTAATGTTTCTCAGACCACTTCTCAGGACCATCAGACACTTTTCCTACCTAATACCTACCTAATACAGGTGTAATGTGAACTCGAATAGAACAGAAATGTTGACTGTCTGGTTTTGGAAACTCAGAGTTAGACATCAGTCCTCTTAGATGGACATTATTAGAATGCTGCAGTTTGTAGCCTGTATGACTGAATATTTATGCAAACTGCCACAACAATGACAATGCATCAAAAATAGACAAAGAACATAGAAAAGGGACAGAAACACTCACTTCCCCCTGCATCCTTTCTTCAGCCTGAGAGCATGCAAACAAGAAAGAAAAAGCAAGACAATAAGTTGCTGGGCTAGTGTATTTCAACTCACTCCCTTTCTCTCAGTTATCATATTAACTGTACTATAATTAATATTCCGGAAAGGCCACATTTGCTACATAGGTTAGAAATCCTTTGTGAATGTTAAGCTGGATTAATCGTTGGATGAAAACATGAAAGCAGCACTTCATCAGTAGGCAGCTAGAGACTTTCTTTCCTGTGCTTTTTCTTTGCAATAGGAAAAGAAAAAGAGTTTGCTGTATTACTTTCTTTCTACTTTGTGCTTGACAAGAAAAAACGTTAAGGCAAGTGTCAAAAAACACGGGAATTTCAAATGAGTGCACAGACAAGTCTTATAACACACTATAAAAGTGATATGTGCTATGTCACAATACTACAGCTAAAGTGGTCCAGATTTTTGCTTTATCACTACGCACTGACTCGCGGCCCCTGCCGACCGGTTTGAGAACCACTTCATAAAAAATTTAACAAAATGATTGATATTTGTTTCAGAGAAACACATATAGCACAACACCAAATTGATAGTAGACTTTGTACATAGTTTCACCACACTTGTATGTAGTGAAAGCAGAAGAATTCCCACCAGACAGCACTAAGGGTACTGTACGGGATCAGAAACTCTTAAGTGTACAAAGGTATTTTGGATGTAAAGCTGCAGAAATCTGCAAAGAAACTGCTCAAACAACAGACGTGGAAGTGAATCAGCAATAAAATGAAGAGAAACACACCAGCTGCCTTCAGAAAATTCTTGGTATGGTTTGTTTAAAATAAAAGCTACTTGTCTACTTGTTGTTGCCTAACACAATGAACTTAATATATTTCAAGTATGGCACAAGTATCCAAATACTTCACTTCTATTCTCAAGTAGTCAAACAGAAACTCTAAGAACATTTATTTGTTCCAAGATATTTGCTTCGTTTCTTGCATCTCTCTTTAATGTATTAAATGCCTTTTGAAAGTATTGATTCTATTTATGTAATCTAAACACAGTCAGGTCGCTTTTCAAGGAAACTGCAGAACTATATTTTGCATTTGCCACAAGCTCACCAACGACTTGAATGAGTTATACTGTAGGTTTGAATGCCCAAAAGACATTCTTACATCATATATCACCCCTGCTCTTCTGTCTTTACACAAATGACTGTGTCTCTAAGGAACCAGCTGTGAAGATCCTGAAGTCTGCAGATGACACCACCGTGATGGGTGTCTCATGACTCATAGCCAACGGGGATGAGTCTACATACAGAAAGGAAGTCATTGAGCTGGTCTCCTAGTGCAGCAGCCACCACCTGCTGCTGAACACAGAATAGTGTGTGGATATGGTGGTGGACTTTAGGTACAACCCCACTTCACTACCCCCTCCACCCCTCACCATCAATGGGTCTGTGAGTTCCACTGTGGAGTCACTTAGGTTCGGTTCCTGGGCACCACCATATCCAGGGATCTAAAGTGGGAGATGAACACAGTCTCCATCTCCAAGAAAGCACAGCAAAGATTTGAGCTGTCTCTTCCTGAGACAGTTCAAGAAATTCAACCTGCTGCAAAGTCTGATGATCCAGTTCTACACAGCGATCATCAAGTCCATCCTCACATCATCCCTAACCATCTGGTTTGGTTCCTCACAAGAACAAACCTAACACCAGCGCATAATCAGGCGCAGAGAGGATCATTGAATGTAGTCTGCCAACGCTTCAGGACATCTACAACAGCAGGGTGACGAAGCACGCCGGCAAAATTATAGCCAACCCCTCTCATCCTGGACATCAGCTCCTCCAACCACTTCCCTCTGGTAGAAGATTCAGGGCCACCAAAGCCAGCATAACCAGACATGCTGACAGCTTTTCCCCAGAGTTGTAGCACTCATCAACCACAATGGACCCTTTGGACTTAAACTGAACCAACAAACATTCCTTACAGTATTACAGTATAACTCCTCCTGCAGCATTGCACTACTATTTGCAGTACTGTACAAGTAAATTTTTACAAATGTTCATATTATGCTGTAATATTCTGTATATAATAGTTTTATAGTATATTTTACAGCACACGTCTATTTGACCTGCATACAAGACAGACATCCACACATCTTACATGTACCTTTCCTGAGCTCCTTTTACATTTGCTGTTCTTTCTTTTATTAGTCTATATTTTATTCATTGTATTTTATTTTACTTTTCCCTTATCTCAGTATTTGTTAATAGTCTACGTGCTGTCTGGTCTGTTTAGTATGTTACATGTTAAATGTGTGCACTCACCAAGACAAGTTCTTTGTATGTGTAACACACTTGGTGAAATAAATTGATTCTGACTTCTTAAAAGAACAGTTCGACCAAAAATGAGAATGGTACTAATAATAAAGCAAAACCAGTTAGCACTTTTGGCCAAATAGCCCTTTAAATTTACACTGGGCTTGAAGATGAGTAGCCAGGTCCTTGATCAACCCTGTAAATCAGGCTGATATGTAGTCCTGTGGAGAGCCCTCTCACTTCTACTTTCCTGTAAAGTAAAACTTGAGAACACCTTCCAGCACTTGTCCATAGCAGACCCTAATAAATCTGTAGCTGTGTTAGAGCAGCCAAAGTGTAGAATTACCAACCCCGGTCATGCTCTTTTCTTACTGCAGTGATAGTTATACGTTGTCACATTAGTGAACGAGTCTGCAGAAATTTAGTTCAGGGGATACTCACTGAGGAATAGCTGGAAGAAGCACTGGATGCCAGCGAGAGCACTGAGCCATGAACTGCAGAGAGGGGGAGAGAAAGCAAGAGAGAGGGGAGAGAGAGGGAAGGGGGGGGCAGAAATATAAAAAAAAAGAGAAAGAGAGAGAGAGATGTTGACATAGTTTTAGTGCTTAGTATACAATTATATCAGTGTAAACCAGTCTGGTCTACCAGTCAGGCTACTGTGGAGCAACTCACCATCGTCACCAGGTTCTTTGTCCCTGAAGGATCCAGAGCGCATCATGCTCTTTGGCCGTTCGGCCAGTGATAGAGTGCTGCCCAGTGGTGAGGCCTGGTACAGCTCAAAGCCAGTCTCATGGGTGGGGATGCTGTTGGAGCGAGTCATCCTAGGAGTGCCTGTTCCAGGACTGTGTGCAACTATTACAGACAGCAGATGGTGCTATAAGTATTCCATTCTCCAAAGAACATAACAGCTTTTGCTCAGCAAACAACCCAAACACAAGTGAAATACAACAACAGTTCACACTGATACTACCCTCTGTCTAAAGTCTCATTGTACAGCTGTCACTTTTGATGATTAATCAAGTAATCACAGTCTTTTAAAAAAAGTCCACTAATAAAAATGGAATTGACTGAGCAATAACAAACAAATAGCCTTTTAACAATCCCGGAGTACTTAAGTGGAAAAGATAAACCAGGAAGTCCCTAAAAAACCTAATTAAAACATATAATAACACTGTGTGGCAAAAAATGTTTATTAATTAGTGTGTCTATCAGGCTCTATTTCTTACTATAAGAGGGACCAGTAACAGAATTTAAAATATGCTCTGTCTATAAGCAAGTCAATGATTACTCAATTTTTTTTTTTTGCAAGTAATCACAGCCTCAAAAGCAATGGTTGCATGCGCTCACCGATATTGTTTAGTGGAATCTTGCTGGTTAGCGTTGGAGATGGTAGCTGAGGAGGGCTGTCTATTGCACTTGGGCTCATGATTGTGTGTGAGTGACGTCTCTCTTTACTATTGTCTTCACTCTGAGACGAGCTGTGTTGGCTAAGGTGCATTGAAGGCACAATATTAGTCAACAGTCACATTATCACAGTGTTGGACCTTCTCATTATAGTGAAGCAGTTATATTATTATTATAATAACCATCATATTGTAATTAACCTGGACTATGTAAATTATGAGGATGAATGGAAATACCTTAATTCTTTCTTCGGTAGGGTATTTCTCTCTCTTTGTGAACTGCAAATGGAAGCGACATGGAAAGACTATTATTCAGATGGCAGCCTGCATAGGAATTAAAAGCTCAGGTGTCACAGAGTGAATAATTAGAAAGCAAAGCATGAACAGAGGGCTGAATGTACAATTAAGAATTCGGAGAGAAAGAGCATTTAAATACATGGAATGTTAGTAAGATTAGATTCTTTAATTCCAGATCTTTCTTTTTTTGGGTCACAAGTTGAAAGCAGTAAAGTGGTATCTATAATATCACTGAGTACAATAAAGAGTCTGCTTATTTTAATCTTGCCTTTTTCTGCAACAAATTCTGTATCTGGATAGGTGTAAACTGCAGTTAAACTAACCATAATCAACACCACTTACAAGGCAATTTAAAAGCAAAACACCATGCATAACACATGTAACACAATTTAAAACCATTAGCTTAGCAAGCATCATGTTCACTCAAAGCTCAGCAAATTTAGCAAATCTCTCTAAACGTGTCCACAAGTGGTATAATTTGCAGTTAAACAGGTAACACTATTTTTCAATTCAGTTCTGAAAACAGATGTCATGTTATTTATGTTTCTCTTAATATGTTACATATATAGATAACCCAACTTTCAATGCAGAAAAATATACAAAACAGAGAGGGCTATAGTGTGATACAGCCGAGTGTTAAAAAAAGAAACAACAGGAAGAAAGGGCATTTTTTGAGATGAGCGATACTGTTGTAGAAACGACATCACAGTACCAACTGCATACCACAAGTATCCAGGAGGATGTCAGGATAATGCCATTATCTATTTTTTTCACCGTTTGTTTGATTTCCCTCATTGTTAAATTTTTTTTTTTAGCAAACAATGAATAATCATTGAAGGCTTTTTCCAGCCTTTTTTTAATGTGGCCTTATTGTTTTCTTTCATTGTTTGTTCTTTAACTTGTCCTCTTAGATATCATGATGCACACATAATGTAAAAATGTCTTAAACTATCATGGTAACATATTTTTTTTCAATTCCACATCAAGCACACAAAACCCTACTTTTGCCAACTATTTAAATACCTTTATTTTAATGGTGTCACACAGACCACTCTCTGTATTTCACCTTTTCTAACGCACAAATGACTACCATGATATGGATGTTACCAAAAAAAAACAAAAAAAAACAAAACAGGATCACAACTGACAAGTGCACACTGACACATTTGCATACACTAACCTTTCCACTGTGAGGGTCAGAGAGGCTCTATTGCTTGCAGACCAGCTGCTTCCCAAACGTCTCTCATCCTGCTTGGCCGTGGGCTCTACCACAGTGTTCCCTGCTGGACACACACTTATCTGCAAAGGCAGAGACTCCATACTGCGATGTAGTCCAGAGAGGCGTGGATAGAGCAGGGGAGAGCTGCCCACTCTGCCTTCTCTCTCCCCTGGTGAGCCAGAGAAACAGTCTGAAGAGTTCACGTTGAGGATGGGTGCAGGGCTAGGCATTAGACCAGGAGCAGTTGGACTGCATAGAGACGATAAATTCTGAAGTTTGGGCAGCACTTTAGGAGGGCGATGGTCTTCCATATTTAATACACTGCAGTCCAGGCTATTGGAGTTGACTTTATCCAGGTGGGTGGGTTTGGACAGCGTTTTGGCACTCAAAGGCCTGGGAAGACTAAAGTAGAGAAAAGAGTATACCCATATATAAAAAAATGGTTTATGTGCTGTATCTAGTATGTGCAAAGATTTTTAGGCTTTTAAAACATTCTTTGAAGGAATAAATAGCTATGCCATGAAATAATTTCAATGTAACATAGTAGGCATGCAACTTAATTTAACATTTTAACTTAGTACTATTATATGTGGCGAGCCAATTGGCAGGTACTGACAGTAGAACTTAAGTAAATATTACCAGTGAAAATTTGGCGAAGTCAGATCAGAGTATTTCCCCATGTTGGATGGCTGCCTGAGTCCTAGTAATTTGGAGGCAGGTTCTATGCTCTGTGTGGGTGTGGAAGGCCCATTCTTCACTGCTCCACTGCCTCCACATTCAGAGTCTGACACCACTGCCTTTGCTTTCGCCTTCTCCTTCTCCCTGTCCGTTTGATTCACTGGGCCACTCCCACTCATAACAATTCGTCCAGAGCTTTTCCCACTACCTGGTTCCTTCAGCTTGGACTGCGGAACCACAGGTTTGAGGCTGAGCAGACCACTATCTATATTGCTGCTAACAGGACGAGGCCCAGGCTTACTTCCTGTCAAACTCAAAGTGCTGGACTTGGCAGGTCTTGGGAGACTACGATACTGGATGTTATTTCGAGAGTTGGGAGCCAAAATGCCCTGATTGCAATTTGACACATCAAGGCTGGTTTTACAACTGCTGCTGTTACTGCTACTTCCACTTGAAGGTTTTACTGGAATGCCAGAGGACTTAGAAGTTTTGGTTGTGGAGGCTACTGAGACAGAGTTGCCAGTAGAGTTGAGAACCGTGGCAGTGCCAGTAACTGGGGCAGGCTTTTTGAAACCAAAGGAGTTGCTGGTTCCAGCAGAAGGTCGGACTAGGCCGGAGACTGGCTTGCGGTTCTGACTCTGATCTTTCCCTGCATCTGAACATGAGCGCTGTAGACCAGATGATTTCACTGCCATCTTTGCTTTGCCCACCACTCTTTGGTCATTTTTTGTTGCTGAAGGGAAATGCAAATAAGCACAAACACACTGCATTAAAATTTATTAAATCAGATAAAAATGGAGTATACATAACAACATAATCTTTTGTATTTGTATAATACAACTATAGTGTGGTGTAACTAGTAAGTGTTATGTGATTACTCAGAATTTTCCAACTTTGAATGCTAGAATAAGGTATCTACTCAGAGTTTCCCTGCAAAGCAGAGGGAAGTGCACTTAGATTAGTGAGAACAGTAACCACACCCAACTGGAAAGCCAACCAATTATGTTCCACTGAACATTACCATGTGTCTGAACAACAAAAACATACAAAATAAAACCTGTGATATAACTAGCATTAGGGTTACCATACTGCTAATCTGTATTCTCTTTGTGGTGGTACATTAGCCATTTAGTCCTTTATGTTTCTAAATAATACAGTCATCTGCAGATGAATGTGACAAATTCTCAAGAACTAGTCCATCAATATGACAAAAGGGCACACTAGGAAGCCGCTACACCACTAAACGACAATTTGGTAAATGTGACCCAAAAGATAAAAGGTAACAAAAAGTGAACAAAATGAGTTTAATTCACATTATTGTCCCGGAGAAGAAGGCAAATAGAATATATAGCTGCACGTTAATATAACTGACAGTATGGTTAATAGCAACCTAGATCAAGAGTCAGCGCCAACAAAGAAAGTCCAAAATTGAACTAGAGATCATTTGTAATTTGTGTATTAGAACTGTCAGTATTTTTCTAGCAACTTACAGATTCATGTTTAAACATTCTAATCCTTTTGCCATACATTTTTAGCCTAAAGCTTGGAATAACAATGCTGCTTTGCATTGGAAAAAACAGAAGGCCACGGAATTAAGTGCACATTTCTAAGAGTGCTCTGGGACTGATCATTACTGTGCTTAAAACCAAGGGAGCCGCTATACAGGCCCAGAGAATCTGCAAAATCAGCTACTCCTGCAAGCACAGCATCAATCAGGCAGATGGAATAACACTGAATCCACAGAAGGCCAAAAATCTAATAAATCAAATTACACTATACTTTTGTTATGAAAAGTGCTAACATCTAACTTACGCACTTAACCCCGCACTTGTTTTGCTGCGTTGAGGACAAGGTTCTCAACAGCATCACTGCTGGAGTTTAATCTTGTTGCTGAGAAAAGAAATCTCAACATCCTTTCTTCCATCACCCCTTACACAGTGATACACATACACACATATAGAATCATTTGTAAAAATAACTAGTATGTGCAGAAGAGATCAGTTTGTAGGAAGGTATGTTTACTCAGGCATTTCTAAGAACACATTCTATCAAGGTGTGTCATTTTTGTGTGTGCCATGTTAGGTACAAAATGCTACATTTACACATCAGCACTCAAAAAAAGAGAATCAGGACCAAAATCTAATCCATCAAATACTAAGAACTATATTATGGTAGAACGAATATAGGACAAGCATAGTTCTGTGCACATATACTGTATGCCAGAAGGTTTTCAGGTATCCCTTCAGATTAGTGAATTCGGCTATTTTAAGGAGCGCCCATTGCTGACACACGTGTTCAATTGCGCGCGCACAACACACACACACACACACACACTTGTGTAAACTTGTATACTCTCCACAGAATAGCACTGCCAATAGAATGGGCAAGATCACCAGGCCCAACCTCTCCAGCACTGGGCTGTGGATCAGCGCAATTGCATTCGTTGGTGTGATGAAGCCCCATCTAATACCTTCTGGATGGGTTGGAGTGGTGTTTCTGATTCAGAACTAATTATCCGACATCAGTACCTAACCTCACTAATGCTCTTGTGGCTGCATGATGTCAAATCCTAAATGTTTCAATATCTAGTTTAAAGCCTTCCTAAAAGAGTTAAGGCTGATACAGCAGTAAAGGGTGGATAAACTCCCTATTAATACCTTGCAAGCAATCAAAAGCAAACCGGATTTCCTTGGAAGTGACAGAGCAACAACAGTTTACTCTATCTATATTTTTGTTCTTTTTAGTTCTAAGCTATAAATCTCTACCAGTAAAAACACAGGCTTAAAGAGAACTGGCTGAGTTGGGTGCTGAACCCCATCCCCCCTACCAACACACACACACACAAGTCACAGGCAGCAGCTGGCTGGGGCTGATGCCAGTCCTCTCTGTACCACTGAACAGAGCTATCTTTCTCAATTCAGTGCTTTTACTAAACCCCAGCATCAGATTTAACGACGCAGCACCAACTGCAAAGGCTGTCATCATGGTGAAAAGAGGGTTTGCTGGGAGGGATAAAGTGGATGGGGCAAAGGGAATTTGTTTTTAATGATACCAAAACCATTAGAATTGGCATAATATCATTACATGCTGCTGGCCATCATGACTGAGCCAACCATAAACCCACTGATGGTGCATCAAGAACATAGACGATATGTTTATTTACAAAATGGTCAGCAGGCTGTTACTGTGACAGGACTCAGTGCTCTGATTATATTTGTTTCATTTAGTAAACACTGCACTGATAAGTCCATTTAATAGGTTTGCCTGCTTAGAAGGCCACTTTTGTTCCTTTTATCTGGCCTGCCCTAGCTGGCACTAATGCTAGATAGCCATAAACCCGCAAATGTGGGACATGTGCGAGCATGAGGCATCATCTGTGTGTTTTTGGGAAGACTCACATTGGATGAGCAAATCTGTGATGGCACATGGTTCATCTTTTTGGCAATATATTTTGATGGTTCCAAAGTGCACAGCAATATTTGGTTTCCTTTTTAGGACACTTTGGGATTACTATCTATGCTCTTTTTTTTTGTTCAACTCAGTCTGCGTGTTAGCTTTAGCAGAACTTACCTCCCAGTGCTTTCTGCAAGTTCTGTGGGTTGTGGGTGATTGGAGAGGTTATGCCCACCGGGGGTTTGCGACCCTTTTTCAGACCGGACTGATGATTAGGTGCCTGTGGCTTCCTCAGTTCACCTTTGACCCCAGCATCATCCTGCACCCGGAACTTCTTCCACTTGTTGGCCGACTCAGTCTTCAAGCTGCCTGTGTCATAGCATCCCTCACTCCTGCGTTGTGCCTTGGCCTCCTCACTGTACCAGGACAGACCACTCTCCACAAGCGAATGCTTTTCTGCATCTGTGCGCAACTGGGGGGCGGAGAAAGAAAAAAACAGGAAAGAGAGAGTGAACACTGTCGGTCATTGTCTTTCTGCTCAATTCAGTGCTCTTACTAAACCCCAGCATCAGATCTAACAACCCAGCACCAACTGATCAGTGTCATTGTCAGACAGATCATCAGTGCAGAAAATGCAATGTTTTTGTTTCTTATAGCAGTATTTCATACTGTCAAATGGCAAAACTCTTACGTGAAATGATTATGACTTCAGAGATCTAGGATAAATGTATACAGAGATAATAGTGGCCTTTGCAAAACAGTTGGTAGATGGCATTTGTTGAATATAGATACTGACAGACATTTACAAATTAATTGCATGTTGGGCACAGTTTAAAGCTTGTACTGGACTTGATGAACAGCAAGTACCCCTTGGAGGAACCTGGCATCAAGATTTGCCAATAGGTTCACCTAGCCTTAGCCAGGTCTAAAGGTAAGAAGATCCATTTTGAAATTTGATGACCTAGAACCACACATTACCACCATAACCAAACAAACAAAAAAGCTTTCACAAAATAAACAACCCACTACTGTTTTTACCTCCTTTAGCTTTACATGCTGACTCTACAGCTAACCATCCTGTGGCAATATATTTAGTAAATGCATACATAAAAAAGCTACACTGTTGCGCTAAAGAGTTTGACCAGATACTGATACATCACAACAACACACCATCCACCCCTCCAGTGTGCTTTATAGTCCACTTTTTATTACCCTAGTGTGATTTCTACACAGGCTCCAAGATAACCTACAACTATTTACTTAGTCCCAACGTGAATTATTTCTAAGTTTCAGCCAATAAAAGATTTTAGAAAAAGTCCTTCCAAAAATCATATTACATGTGCATCTCAAAAAAATTTAATATTGTAAAAAAAGTAAAAAGTAAAGTTCATTTTTGCTCATAATTTGATCAAAAAGGTAAACTGTCATATATTTGATATTCATTATACATAAAGTGACAGTTTTAGCTCAAGAAAATCAGAAATTCAGTATCTCAAATTATTAGAATATTTCATAAGACCAAATAGAAAAGGATATACAATACAGAAATGTCAAACCTCTGCCAAGTATGTTCATTTATATATACACCTGGTTGGGGCTCCTTTAGCTCGAATTACTGCATAAATGTGGCATGGTATGGAGGCTTGTGGTAGTGCCGAGATGTTACTGAAGCTCAGGTTGCTTTAACAGTGGCTTGTATTGCCAGGCTGGGTGTTTCTCTTCTTCCTCTTGACAACACCACAAACACTCTATGGGGTTCAGGTCCTGAGAGTTGGCTGGCCAATGAAGCACAGCAAACCATTTGGTAGTAGTTTTGTGAGTGGAGAAATGCTAAGCCCTGTTGGATAAGAAATTGGCATCTCCACAAAGCTTGTTAGCAGATGAAAGCATGAAGTTCTCTAAAATTTCCTGGTAGACGGCTGTGTTGCCTTTGGACTTGATGAAACACAGTGGACCAACAAAAGCAGATCACATGGCACCCCAAACCATAACAGACTACGGAAACTTCACACTGGACTTCAAACACCTTGGATTCTGCACCTCTTCACTCTTCCTCTAGACTCTAGGACCTTGATTTCCAAATGAAATACAAAACGTACTTTCATCTGAAAAGAGGACTTTGAACAACAGACCAGTTCTTTTTTCCTTAGCCCAGATAAGGCACTTTTGACATTGTCTCTGGTTCAGGAGGGGCTTGGTAATAGGAATGCGGCAGCTGTAGACACCAGCCTCAGTCCACTCCTTGTGAAAGTCCTCCAAGTTCTTGAATCAACTTTTCTTAACAATTGTCTCAAGGCAGCTGTCAGGCCCTCTGCTTGTGCATCTTTTTTCACCACATTTTTCCCTTCCTGTCAACTTTGCATTAATATGCTTTGACAGTGCAACTTTTTCAGCAATGACCTTCTGTGGCTTTCACTTCTTGTGGAGGGTGTCAATGATCGTCTTCTGAACAACTGTCCACAGTCCACAGTCTTCCCCATGATTGTGGTTGCGTGTGCTGGACTAGACCGAGAGACACACGGTATTTATACTGTTTGAACAGTAATTTACCCAAACTTGAAATGAAATATAATCTGAGTTACTGGATTTTTTCATGAGCTATAAGCCATACTGATCAAAATTAAAACAAAAAAATGCTTGAAATATGTCACTTTACATGTAATAAACATTAAATGACAGTTTAACTTTTTGAAATAAATTATGAACAAAACATTGTTTCATGATTTTTTTGAGATGCACCTGTACACAAGCATAATTTCTTGCAATTGCGGAGAGCAGAAAATCTCTCTAATAGAACTGCAGGTGTTTTTACAAAGAACACTTTCTTTATTGTCTTTCGTAATATTTCCAGTCAACTTTCAGGCAGCAATAACTAGTGCAAGTGTTATTTCCACAATCCAGCATATTTTGGAAGTAAATAAGTTAGGACTACAAATTCATTATCATTTACAGGGATGTAACAATACACTCAGCCCACAATTTGATTCAATTCACTACTGAGTGCTGGGTTCACGATTCAATGTTCTTGTGAAATTTTTGAACAAAATTCAAATGAAGAAAAATGATGACTATAATCATACTGTTGAACTTACTAGATTAATAGTGAATAATTAATAGAATGTCCACTCTCCACAATGTATTGTATTAGCTCCACAATGCATTAGGGGTGGGAATCTCTAGGCACCTCACGATTCGATTCAATTACGATTCAGAGGCTGCGATGTGATTATAAAACGATTATCGATGTATCTTGATGCATCTTTTTTCTATACAGGATTTCTATTTACTCACTGTCTGAGGACTTGGTACTTTTAAAGCAAAGTATTTGTAATGATCCATAATGCATTTACTTCCAATATCTTTCACTACTATACCAAATGCAAGTGATGTGCCAAATGAACTAGAGGGCTTTCATTCACTGCTCTTGTTTGGAGCACATGAGACACTGGCTGCCACTCATCTGTGATAAAAGGCGCTGTTACGGTGACATAAGATCCAATGGTAATGAATGTCCACGCAGCACACGTTATAGGTATCCTACCCGTTTTCTTTAGTGATTCGGTTTTGGTCTCGTTGTAGAGAGTGGGGATCGCTGTGTCAGTAAAATATCTTTGAGATGGGACGTGTGCAACATAGCACAAAAGCCCTGGTTCACAACAACTGAGAACTGGCGTGCAGACTGCAGGTCACACAGCAACGCAGTCTCGCCTAGCTAGTAGCTAACAAAAAGGCAAAGGAATAGATTTAAGACGAACATTTGCAGATGAATTGACTTACTCGCATTTATAAGCAGCGCAGTTGGTTTCCTGGTACGTTAAATCTGCAATGAGAGACTGTGAAATACTAAAAAGTTGTGAAGATGAAGTCAGCTTCTCTTTTGAATTTTCCCTTTCCACCTTAAATAGTGCCACATTTACATCCGGCGCCTCAGTCAGAATTTAAGGTGGAACGGAAAAATCTGAACAAGAAGCTGGCGAATGAGAAACAACTTCAGCCTCGTAAAACAGTCAAACGTTGAGAGACATTTTACAACAAACTATTCAACTTTTGAGGAAAAGTGTCCTAGCGGAGAGGGGAGGAAAGCGACTGAAGCTAAAGCTTAAAGCAAAGCAAAGTAAGTCTGCATTTTCCTTTAGGACATTAGCACATACTGAGACATACTGGACATAAAATGTTTTTGCTCCCAAGGTGGTTTGATTTTTGTTGAAAGGACAAAATGGCTCTTCTTATCATTTGGGTTGTTGACTCACCTAACCTAACCTAGCTTTTAATGCAGAGGGTCCCGTTGGACTGCTTCTCCCACCCCTACAATGCATATGGTCACAGTGTTGTATTGCGATACCATAATGTCACAATGCACTGTTACACCCCTGATCTAAAATCACCCTTCCAATTCCTTTTCCCTCTAGCAAGAACCCAAACTATTTGATCGGGGATAAGCATTTGCTCTGCTTTTAAGTATGTCAGTAAACTAAAGTTTATTCCCCAGTAAGACACTGCTGAATCTGAAATGAAACTACATTGATGGAGGGCGTATGCAGCATCTCAGAATAAGAATACAGATAAGGGGGTTAGAACTTTGGCAGGTGTGTCTGCAGGGGGTCAGAGACCTACTGATCCATTAGCTGGTCAGGACATTGAAAAACGCCACGAGACTCTGGCACAAGATCATCTCACTTCCTGGAGGGTGCTTACTGTTTCGGGTGTGGTTAACTAAGATTTATGACAGAATGAGAGGGAGGACTCTTACAATACTGTGCTAATCTGAATATATTTCCTTGACACAAAGCTGACATCGCTATGACGTTATGACGCTAACCTAGTGACTGAAAATGCATTAGGACTACCAAAAGACCTGGCGGTAGGATGGCTGCAGTCAGAAGCTTTTCTGGACCTACTGACCTATTGTCCTAATGGAATGTGCAAACCTGTGCACATTTGGCCTAAATTTGCCATGCTCCAAGTGATAAAAATACTGGCATATATAATTGAATGGGTGCGTAGATGCCATGTATTAGCATAACAGTGACCTGAGATGATGAGACAAATTGTCCTCCATTAAATGCACTTATTGGCCCTTATACATCAAAGACGCATAGAAACGAGCGCAGATTTGTTTGTCCTGATTCAGGAAGCTGTTGTACGTCAAGTGGTGATATAAGCGCAACTGATGAATCAGCTTCAGTGCATGGATACAAACTAGCTTATTACACATCAATTGTAATGGACATGCCCCAATTCGGCCTACTTTGTATATAATTTACTTGAACATGTCCTAACTCATGTAGATGTTTTGATAGTGAGCCAGTAAAACAAAATTATTCAGCAGGCTGAAAAATACAACTCTGTTTAAGCTATGTTATGTATTTTAGGGAGGTAGTTATCTGCTGTATTAGTTGTATGAAACAGAAGTTTTTGAATGGAAGCCATAGTAGCAGCATTTGTTTATATCAGAGTGAACATAAAAAACAAGAACATTCACTTTAGTACAAGAAAACCTATGTACACAGTTATGAGTACTGTCATAGTTATATGCTATTTTGTTATTGCTTATACTGTTGATAGTAATCATTTTGATCATTTGACCACAAATACAGCAGTTTTTCAGTACATGACTGAAGTGCCCTTGTCACTTAATCTTAATCTTAATGAATAAGGGCTATTATCTTACAACATCAGTCTCTCTCCCTCTTCCCCATATACACAGATGCACACATACTCAAACTGGGATATGTCGCCATGTTTAACCCTCCTGTTGTGTTCCGGTCAAATCTGACCGATTTACAAGTTTCCTCTTTAAAAAGTGTAGTAAATTTCATCTGTTTGTCATGAGGTTCCATGACTTTGTTCACACATGGTATTTGAACACCTAAAACAAATCTGAAATATTTTTATAAAAATTTGTGTGTTTTATGGAACTTGTATACACCCATGGTGTTCCCGGTCAAAAATGACCGGTTATTGGAAATGAATCCATAAGACTACAATTAGTGTATAAAACAGAGTTCAAGCACATATCAAGCACATCCACAGCAACCAGAGAAGGAGGAGTCAAAAGAAAGAGGTGCCAACTGTGTGCACCAAGAGATAAAAAAACTAGCTTTGTGTGCCACAGATGCGGTGTATATATATGCAAAGAACATGCAACGACCACAGTATATTGCCCCACATGCTCATGAGAGGACAAAACTGAGGAAAACATAAAAAACATAAGGATAACATTATGGCACTGTCTTTTCAGAGTACAATAGAAAATTGTAAATATGTTCATACAGTGTATGGTTCAAGCATTTCTCTTAAATTTTCCCTGTGTACATTTGGGCTTTTGTTTTTTAATAAATAAATCATACCGGTCAGTTTTGACCGAGAACACAAAAGTTGTTATTTTGTGCCACAGTTTAGAAAACTTAACTGGTTTCAAAAAAGTGACTTTGGTAAACATTTCAGTGAAGTACTCTGTGACAAACACTACAATAGGTTTCATCTTAGTATTCGTTATAGTCAAAATAATATGTATATAATGGTTTTTCCCTAAAAAAACGAGCGGTATGAGCTCAGGTAAATGAGGTCTGCAGGACATAAACAGCAAATACAAGTTCAAAACTTATAATGTTCACAAGAGCTGAAGTTCATAAAAAGATCTAACACAACATTAGGTGATAATATATGTATTATTGTTGATTTATAATGGAATAAAATGATCCCGGTCAAAAGTGACCAGGAACATTATGAGTGTTAGCCAAAACGAACACAACAGGAGGGTTAAAGATGTAGAGTCACGTGGTTCTCTTAGTAAAAGTCTGCTGTGTGCCTTTGACTAGTCTAAGATGCCTGTGCTTTAGAGAATCAGATTCCACTGAATACTGATTGAGTCAGTGTGTGGGTCCACATTCTGAGTCATTGCCAAGTTGTTATACATTATTCGCATTAGCAATAAGCTCCTGAGTGTGCACAAATTAGTTGGTAAATTAGTGAACTCATGTTGGAACTAACTAAATACAGAAACAAACCCTTAGTCAATCATTTAATGGGAAATCTTTCATGAAAGTTTAACATGTACATGTAATTCTTTTAATTTTACACAGTATAATTCTAATCACAACACACACCCCAACACATTATAAATTACAGAACGAAATATTAAAATCCTACATGTTCATGGTACTTTTTAGATTTGGTTCATGACACTTTACATACTGGTAAAAATAAAAAGAGATCACTCACCACAATGGCAGAGTTGCGGCGTGAGCCAATGGGAGTGGTCGGCAGAGAGTTGAGGGAGGAGCTGGCGTTGAACTCTTCTGAGCTGAGGTTATCTGAGCCATCACTCAAACCACTACTGATAGAGCTGCTCTCATCCCAGCTATAGAGATTATATAGAACAGAAAGGAGAAATAATATAACGCATGCTGTCCTTGCCCACAACTTTATAGGTAAGACTTGAAATAAACATCCACAGGATAATAAAAATAAATGCAACCACAACTGACAATGGAAAGCAATGATAAACCTCTCTGCATTATTAATCCTACTTCTAATCACTTGCAAAATTACAAAAGAACTGCTAAGTTTTTCAGAGGTAGGAATTATAAAAGTCCCTTTATTAAAGGTTGATGAAGTGGATTGTTTGTTTTTTATAAATTCAATATGACCCTGTACAGTCTGAAAAGACAGACACTCCTGCCAAGGCCTTTATTTGGTGATCAGCCATCACCACGTGGACTCTCATGGTGTCACATGGGCTCATTAATCACACTTCACACTATTCTGAGTTCCTAACTTGTTCATACTGACATGTTCTCAAGGTAATCATGGATTTAATATTCATTCAGTATTCTGATAATCAGTTTCTAACAGTAGTCATGTTTTGTTTTTGTTTTTTTTAGTTAATCTGAACTCTTCTGGCTAACGATTAGTCTCATTTCATTTCTTTATTCATTATTCACTTCTTTATTCATTACTCTCATTACTATTGTTTTCAGTTGAGTTATTGTTTAGTTAGATCATGGCAACTACAAGAGGACTGGTTCCTGTTTTAAGTCGTGGTTCCTCTAAAAACTCTTCCCCTTGCTCTTAGTGAGTTTTTTCCTTACCCATTGCCATGTTTGTCTTGCTGGCTTGAACCCAGATTTCTGCAAAAGTGCCTTGTGACAACGACTGCTGTAAAACCTGCTATACACACTGTGGACAAGACAGACCCTGTCCAGGTGGCACAGTACTCTTCCACAGACTGCCTGGAAGGAGCACTCAAATGTGTGTGTGTCTGTGTGTGTGTGTGTCTGTGTATTGAGGGGTTTTTCTTGCTCACTAGGGCTTGCAAGTCCTCAACTGTACCATATTTCAAGGCCAGCAACAGTAGATGCACTCTTGTATTATGTAACATTTGTCCTCATACTTGTTTCATGCACACACATATCAATTAAATAATCTGTCCTAGAAATGAAATGTACAGTGAGGAAACCTTGCATATGCTGATAAATAACAACACGTTATTTTCACAAGCAAAAAAAAAAAAGTTATTGCAATAACTAGTACTGCTACAACAACTGCTAGTACTGCTACTGAATGTTACAGTGTTGATGATGTACCTGAGGACATACTGTTATAATTATCAAAGTAGATGTCTACAGCACAATCAATATCAACTGCCGTTTTATAGCCTGTCATATCGAAAAATTATCAGCTTTAAATGACCTATTAGAGAACGAATACAACACTGATCATGTTCTTACAGATTACTTGCAAACATGTATTACCCACCGTTCATACTGAGGCATGCTGCCTTAGTGAAGCATACTTACACTCAAGGCATTGCATATTATATAATTCAGTACTGGCACACATCTTAACAAAGAAGTTGTCCTTGGTTATGTTGTCCATGTGGTTATAGAGAAGAGGCATGTTTTCCAATTGGCTGAGTGTATAGGTCAGACAGTAGCTTCAAGACAGACCGGGCTCAAAAGATGGGGACAACCTAAAGATTAGATTTAGAGTAGTAATGGAGCAAAACAGTTGACTTTGGTGGTACATTCCTCATTCAGAACATTCTTTTGGAAACAAGCTGTCAGTACAGCCCCATACAGAGGTTGTTTAATATGGAAAGATACATTCAGAAGCCAAGTAGTTTGAAATGGTCCACGTCAAGAGGAAAATTCAGTGACAGGACGCATCATGGAAACACTGGAGTGGTGTATGTGTGTCTGTATGGCTTGTGTTGAAAAAGAGCAGTAATAACCCCAACTTCATATTATTTGCAAGGTAAAAATTTTAAACCGTGGACATTTTTCTTTGTTTATAAAAGTATAGTTATATACCCAAGGATTAAACATGGGTTTGCTAACAAACAGCCTGGCACATTTACATATAGTTATTTTAATCAATGCTGCTAGACCTTGCTGAGTTGTTCAAAGCCTTCAAATGATACAGTCCCAAAACCTTCCTGAGTGAAAAAACAAAGTAGGCTTAGCTTAGCTATCTGATGGTTAACACTCTCCCAGGTTAAAGCAGTGATAGCCCATACTTGAGATGATGATCAGGATTTGATTCATGTGTTGTTTTGAAATATGTCTAGCTTTAGACCCTGTTTTGTGTGAGACCGTAGAGATGAGTTTCATACAATAGTACTGTTTGCTCTGCGTCATATCAAATGACGTTGTTCCACCTGTGTTGCTGAAAACTTTAGCAGATTCTCACTTCTTTCAGATCTTCCATTTCACTGCTGAAATCCATGACCAGTAAGGTGGTGTGTCAGAAGTAGGGGCATTTATTTTCATTGTCTACAGAACAACAAGCACCGTAACCGAAAAGCAGTTGTATCCTTTACGTTATGAAAAATTGTCAACTTCTCTGTGGGTGCCACGAAAAGCACCATAAGTAATCCATAGCAATACTGAGCATGACTCTTCTTTAGTCACTCACTCATCCAATATGGAGGAAAAGCTAGTTTACTTTTCAACAATTAATTGTATCTTGCTTTTTCTGTGATTTGTTATGGAAATATTATCTAATGGTGTTCTTATGTTTACCCACTTGTCAGTGAAATATGTCAGTGAAAAAAAGCTTTCATTGCTATAACCTTCACGAACCTTCACGCACGCGAGGATGTTCTATCAGTGATGCTGCACGACCATCCCTTTTAACGGAATCAGTGGAGATGGACGTGAGATTTTAACCAGATGGACTTAGTAGACAGTCATATGGTGGGCCTACGGGCCAAAATTTCTGGCAAATGTACAGGCAGACTGCTCCACATTGTATTGTAGTGCTTAATATTGTGCTTCTATACATATTAATGAAATACAAACTCAATAATTTTGTTAGACAGCTGCAGATTAAAAAAAACTAAAACACTGTGATCAAAACTAATACTGAGTCAACTGATCATTTAAATGATCAAAAAGCAATGCAACTGACGTGTTAAAACATATCATTAAGAGTATGTCTTACTAAGAGATCTGAATGCTATAAAAGCATTTGTTTGCATATTATATGATACATATTAGTTGTGACAGCAAAGCATGAGTAAGAGCAAAGGCGCTTTCTTAATTCATATTAAAAAATAAGCACATATACTATTTTGAGTAAGAACAGTACTATAAGTAAGAAAGAGACAGCATCCTTTGACTCCACTCACCCTCTCCTTTTAGAAAAAGACTCACAAAAGTACAATAATGCCATGTCTAAGCTACACTGTAATTGTAGGGGGCCTGCATCCTGCCAACTGGAAAAAGAAAGAGTGATTTGAATATTAAGTGTTCTCCCTTTTAATACACACACACACACACACACACACACACAGCAGTATGGAGCAGAGATAAGAGCAGTATGGCTTTGCTGAAGAACGCTTAAGTTATCCAAGCACCATTTGAATTGTTTGTTTGTTTTTTTGTGAGGAGCAGTAGCCAAATTGAAAAGTTAACATGGTTTCTCTGCTGCATGTGGGCTGACAGACCAGGCAAAAACAAAACAGCAACACACACTTATATACAGACTGTATATACAACCCCATTTTCTAAATAAGTAAAAAATATAAAAATTAATAATAACAAAAACAGAATACAATGACGTGCTAATCATTTTAACCCTCTATTTAAATACTTAATATTCAGCTTAAAAGACAACATATCAAATGTTGATTTTTTTTTCTTTCTAAATGTGCCCCTTTTGAATTTTATGTGTAATGCTAAGAAATCTCATAACTAATTAGATTATTTGACAACATGATTTGGTGTAAAAAGAGCAGCCCAGAAAGGCTACGTATTTCAGATGCTGTTCACCACCTTAATTACCACAAGAATAATGTTTCTCAAGGTGAAATAGCAAAGAACTTGGGACTTCATTGTCTATGGTACACAATCTCATTGAAAGATTCAGAGGAACCAAAGAAATCTTTGTATGCAAGGGACAAGGCCAAAAACCAATATCGTCTGGCCATGATCTTCATGCCCTCATGTGGCACTGCACTAAAAACAGACATGGTTCAGGTTGGTTCAGAAAACCAATGTCTATGAACACAATTTATCGTTGCATCCACAAATGCAAGTTAAAGCTCTGCCATGCAAAGAAAAAAAAAAAACATAAAAACAGGATTCAGAAATGTCATCGCCTTCTCTGGGCCATAGCTCATTCAAGATGGACTTAGGCAAAAAGTGTTCTGCGGTCTGATGAATCAAATTTTGAAATTTCTTTCGGAAATTACGGATGCCGCATGCTCTGCGCTAAAGAGCAGAAGGACGATCTGGTTTGTTCTCAACGCACAGTTCAAAAGCATCCGTGATGGTATGGGAGTGCATTATGTGCACATGGCATGGGTGACTTGCACATCTGTGAAGACACCATTAAGACTGAATGATACATACAGGTTTTGGAGCAATACATGCTGCCATCCAGACAATGTCTTTTTCAGGGAAGGCCTTGCTGGTTACAGCAAGACAATGGCAAACCACATTCTGCACATACAGCATGGCTCTATAGTAAAAAAGTCTACATGCTAAACTGACCTAACTACAGTCTAGACCTGTCACCCACTGAAAACATTTGGCGTATTATGAAACAAAAAAATTGACAAAGGAGACCCTGAGCTGTTGAGCAGCTGAAATCCTACATCAAGTAAGAATGGGAAAACATTTCACTTTCAGAACTACAGCAATTGATCTCAGTTCCCAAATGCTTACAGAGTATTGTAAGGCATCAAAATGGGCACATATTTTTCAAAAAACAAATTCAGTTTGTTTCACTAACTGACATGTTGACTATTTCCAGTTAAATTTAGGGTTCAAATGATTTGCACATCATTGCATTCTGTTTTATTTACATTTTGCACAGCATTTACACTTTTCTGGAAACGGGGCTGTAAATGACTTT